CCAACGGGCCGGATGTGGCCCGCGGGCCGTAGTTTGCCCACCCCTGCTTTAGATGATCAATGCCTGAGCGACAAGTTACAACATATAACAGTCATATAAACTCCATTGTCCCATGAACTGATACTTCACAGTCTGGTTATGAAATGTCTTCAGGAAGAGGAGCAAATTCACAAAACACCAACGATTCAGTCCCATGCTGCGTGTGTTCTCCACTGGTGGTAATTCAGTTTCCCTGAGAAACTATGTTTAGGGACCGGGTTATTTATTTGATGTAATATTTCTCCTTCATTTTACCACCATTGCCAACATGGTGTTCTCCAAGACAATTGTTTCAAAAGGTAGAGGTACTGTTATATTCTGGATATCAGAATTGTGAGGGGAAGCCTCACAAATGCAAAATGGCCTACTTCCATTCAACATCCATCTCACCTGAAGACAGATTCTGGATCGTGATGGCATCAACTGCTTCTGTTTTGAAGGATGGTTGGTTTTGTTGTATTTTGTCACCACGTCCCTCTTTAATCATACCAACCTAGATGTGAATAAATTACTTGGTGAAATCTGGTAAGAATTGTTAGGGGGGAAGATGGCTGAGTCATGTGCCAGAGATTAGAAATGCTTCTTTACCAGAGAGTTGTGTAAATAAACCTAGGATATCATAGAAGCCTATTACACTGAGAATACAAAATGTTCTCTCTCTTTTTTGTTTAAAATAAGGTTCCTCATCCAGGCTTTCTGGGATAATGAACTGTTTTAATTCAATCTTTCATTGAGGATGCTAATCATCTGGATCCTTCTCAGTCTGGTTTCTGAGACAATACAATAATGGTAAGGCTTGCTGGGAGCTGGCAAGTGTTACTAGGAGAAGTGCTCTGCTGGATGCCATTGACCCTATTATTCTCCTGGAGCATCTGGACAATATGGAATCTTGGAGGTAACCTGATCTGTGGTGGATCTTGCTTGGTGTAGTTAAACATTGCTAGGGAGGTTCTGGTATTGCCCAGCCCACCTAATTACAGCATTAAACAAAATACTAGGAAAAATGTTCCTAACAGTATGAATCAACAGAACAATTTGAAAGATGATATGTTTCTTTTACTGAAAAGCCAGAGGTAGAATGTGCACTAACAATGGTTTTCTTGTATCAACAAGAGGTTGGACAAAGTGATATTTGATTATCTTTTCTGATTCCGATATTTCTACAAAGTAAAAAATGAAGCTATTTTTCAGGCACGATGCACACTCTTAACAATCCTATGAAATTGCAAATTGTTTGATCATTCAGGTTGTGGAGTTAAAAAAATTCTGCATTTGAATGCAGAATGTTTATTTCTTTACCTAATACATTTTACATAGCACATCATGAGAGCCAGTTTCATGTAGTTGTTAAGGTACAATTTACAGCAGTTTGTGTAATGACTGTTCGAAGTTACTACAGTACTGAAAAAAGTGACTTATGACCATTTTTCTTACTTATGACTGTTGTAGCATCCCCATGATCATGTGATTTACATTTGAATGCTTGACAGCTGACTCACATTTATGACGGTTGCAGTGATTATCTATCTATCTATCTATCTATGTTTTAAGTACCCAAAGAATATATTAAAAATCTGTTTACTATTGTTTCCTAGTATAAGATACAGAATAAAGGCCTCAAAATTATAGGAAGGCAAACTGTGTTTGAAAGTTATGAAAAACTTCCTAACAACAATAACAAAAGTATCATAAAGGAACTGATTACTCAGAAACTGATGAGTGATGAGTTCCTCTTTGCTATATACACAAAGAAACTAAACATATCTGCTGCCTGCCAAGGAAACTTTAATTTGGATTTCTGCACCAAGTATGGGATTGAATTCGGTGGATAAAATAATTTTTTAAAATTCTATGATTAGTCCTGTAGCCCAGGACTAATGCTGGATTTTGGAATTTTTGGAACTAAATTTTTGGAACAAATGCATTTTGAAATCCCTATGAAAGTAAGGAAATTTTTACCTATGAGCGTTAGCAGTTTTTCATCCAAGCCTAGGGAAATTCTATTAATGTGAAAGTGATATGTAGACTACGATCTTATGAATATTCATTAAAAAATAAAGTTCCTCTTGGTTCATGGACTCTATTCCCCATTAATACATTCAGGGCAACATTCCTAAATTATGCATGGTGATGATTACCCCTACTTGTAGTCAAGATGTAAGTAAGAGAGAGGGACATATACCTTATTGCTCTAATGGTGCAGTGGTTAGAATACAGTATTGCTCAAGGTGGACTCAGCTTTCCATCCTTCCGAAGTTGATAAAATGACCCAGATTTTAGGGCGCAATATGCTGATTCTGTAAACTGCTTAGAGAGGGCTGTAAAGCACTGTGAAGCATTATATAAGTCTAAGTGCTATTGCAATTTGGTGTCAAGAGGGTGAAAAAAATCAAGAAATGATAAAACACACCAAGAAATACAAGTGAAGCATCCAGGAAAGCTCTCCTATTGTCAGTGCCAGTAGGTAGAGCAGACCAGAAAAACAACTCTACAGGAAGACCAAAATGACACTTTATTGAAATAGGCTATACTAACAGAATCTTGCAAGACTCCTGGGAATGTACTTCCCCTGTTATACCTCAATGAATCAGGGAGGCATTTGTCTGAGTCTCTACTGAACACTATCTTGTTTCTCTTGGACTTAAGGAATGTTTCAGTCTGTTTGCCTAGGTACCAGTTCTTGCATACTTCAAGATCACCTCCCTGGCTTTCTATGATCATTGACTTGGAAAACAGATTGAAAAATGCAACAGAAATAGAAGATAATTGATCTAAGTAACAAGGATCTGAATAACCCTAACAAAGTGGACGTTTAAACAAACTGGTAACCTGGAGATGGATGGAATGCTGATAGACTACACCCTCCCTTCTCCCTCCTGTCCTTCAGAATATGTTGAAGTTGCCTCAAATACCTAAGGCTTCTAGATCTGGGCTTCAATAATCCCGATGGCCATTGGATAGCATCCAAGAGATAAAAGTTCTCTGTCTTGCTTTGTTTTATTTAGTGATAGTTTCTATACTAGCTATATGCATCCTAAATCAAAGCTGTCATTTAAAATCTAGTCCAATGTTTTTCAACCTTGACAATTTTAGGATGTGTGGACTGTAATTCCCAGAATTCCTCAGCTGACACATCTTAACATTGCCAAGGTCTGATCTGACATTCAACATCAACATTCAGAAGTGTAGCCTCAGTCCATCTGGAGCAGGGGTCGCCAACCTTTTGGACCTCAGGGACCACCAAACTCATAATTTTAAATCCCACAGACCAGAGACCCTGGGAAAATCCCAAAAATTCTGCAGGAAAATCCCCCACCTCATTTTCCTACTGATCGATCATTCTTTACTTGGGATCACAGGATATCATCTCCAGCTCCGTTCTCAGTGAGAGAGAGAGAGAGAGACTTTTGGCTTCATGCAAGGAAAACAGCAGAAGTCTTTTTTTCTCTCCCCCAAATTCTGCCAGAAATGAGTCTTTGTGAGACTTGTTGCACCGGTGCAGCCTCTTGGAGCAGGATGCCTTGCAGGCTCCCAAAAACTCATTTCTGGCGGAGTTTGGGGGAGAGAAAGAAAAACTTTTGCTGCTTTCCTTGCATGAAGCCAAAAGCAGAAGAAGAAAGAAGAGGAAAAAAGCAGCCGAGTGGCCAGGCCAGGCCAGGCGCATGGGGCAAGTGGGGCAAGTTCCCCCCTCCGCCCTTTCCCCCCTCCCCTCACTACTTCGTGTTGTTTGCAATGCAAGCAATGCAAGCCTTGTGTTCCCACTGCAGCCTGGATTAATTGCTTTGGGGGTGTGTGCTTTGGGGGTGACATTTCTCTGCGGACCACCAAAATTTTCTCGCAGACCACCAGTGGTCCCCAGCTCACTGGTTGGCTACCACTGATCTGGAGCACACTGGTAATAGGAGGCTACCTGAGTAGTTGTGACAAAAGCAGCCCAGGTTGCTCAATTAAATATTATTTTAACGGTAGAATCACCTTTCTGCAATAACCTGTGCTCTTTGGTGTTTCCTTATCCATATCTGCGTTAATAATCATAATTAAGGCTTTTACATTGCAGGTCCATGCTGTTCTACTGGCCATTGTAAGGAACACTGGGAGAATAACTTCACGAATCTTAAACGTGTAAATTAATAATTCCAAAGGAAGAAAAAATATATATCATTTGATGACTTCGTCCTTGGGTCATTTTTTTTAACCCGTTAAGTTACTGCTCTAATATGCTGAATTAGCTCCATCATGAGGCGCTGTCGTATTACTCCGTCAAGAAAGGCAAACTTAATTTCTTGACGGAGTCATACGAATAGCCCCCCCCCACCCGTGACGTTTGCAGAAAACACCGCCGCGTCTATACACCATATACAGCGTTAGGGCGGAGCTTCCAAGGATAGGGGGCGTGGCTTTCAAGTAGGGTTGCGTTCAAGCCCCGCCTTTTGCCGAGCGGGGCGGGGGGGGGAGGGAGCCAGAGGCTCCGGGCAGGCGAAGCAAAGGGGCGGGGTTATTGTAGAATTAACGCCGCCTCTTTCAGCGCGCGGCCGGCACCTGCTGCTGCCGGCGAGGCAGAGGCAGAGAAGCTCGGCTCGCGCCGCCGCTGCCGCGCAAGCAGAAAGGGCATCTCGGGTACCGTAATTCCCGCTCGGTTCCGCGAGCGCGCAAGACGAAAAAAAGTTCGCCCCTGGAAAAGAGCCGGCAGGTAAGCGCGCTGGGTTCGACCGTCCGACGCGTCTTCTCAGCTGGAGCTTTGGGTTCGTACGGTCCGCTGGAAGCCTCGCTCTGAAGGGAGCTTACGCGAAGGTAAAGGGCGTCTAGGACTAAAAACTCAGCCAGCTGCCCTACTGACAATCCAAAGCGAGCGGGGCGGGGAGGCATCTCTGGGTCTCCCGAAGGACAGGCGAGCGCCGCGGGCAGCCTTTCCTCCTGGAAGCTCCTGGCCGCCGCTGAGCGAGCAGCTGGAGGTCAGGTTGGTAAGAGCCGGAGGAAGGTGACAAGGTCTTCCCCACCCTCCATCCAAAGTCTTACCCTCTCAATGTGGATTGAAACCACGGTATGTTCTGTCCAAAGTTTTGTAGCCCGGCATCCTGCCTTGCCCGGGAGCGGGTCCTGTTTGCTTCGTCCCTCAGTGTGGATTGAAACCATCCTTATGTTCTTCCAGAAGTGTTTTTGTTTTTTTTCCAACTGGACTTTCTCGCTTTTCTTTGAAGACGTTTCGCTTCTCATCCAAGGAGCTTCTTCAGCTCTGACTGGATGATGGGGAATGACAACCGTGACCTGGGTGACTGAAAATCTCCATGGACAATCGTGTGTTCTGTTCAAAGTTTTGCAGTTCGGCATCCTGCCTTCCCTTGGGAGCAGGTTAGGTTTCCTCAGAGAAGTAATGCTATTAGCGGGTACATGTGCTGATATAACAATATCAGTCAACTGGTGCATGGCTCTTTCCATAAAGGCAGGCGGGGTTGGCAGGTGAGGGGGAATTAGGTCAGGTGAAGACCATAGTTTTTGTCTGTGGAGATTCTCAGTCAGAGCTGAAGAAGCTTCTTGGATGAGAAGTGAAAGGTCCGCAGAAGAAAAACCAGTTACCTCTTTAAAAAGAGCATCTTTTGTTTTTATGTTTTAACTGTATATATGTAACCGTAAAGTCTCCAAGGGTTGCCCTATGGTAAGATGGATGGCCAATAACTTTTGTAAATAAATAAAATAAATGTAAATATATAATAGCCTCACCCCCCCCCCCCCCTTTTTGCAGGGAAAATATATCCCACTACAAGGGCTGCGTGCGGTTGAGTAACTTGATGAAGTGCGTGGCTCAGTTTCTATGAGCAGTCAGACACAGAGTTTCCCTTCTAGAAGGAAGGATGATAAACTTCAAGTGGCTTCCTTCTTTCTGAGCCAGTAGGCTAGGGCGATGTGACATGCATCTCTCTACTTATCTTAGAGTTTGGTAGACTTTGCTGTTTGCCTACCTTTGAATGGGTATTAAATCCAGTTTGTATAAGGCCTTAAGGTCGTTTCTCATCCCCTCTTGAGTTTTTTGAAGGTGTAAGTACAGTATATCACATTATTGGTTCACTTTTCCCCCCCCTCTGCCTGGCTTCTCCAACTCAGTTTAACTTCAGTCCTCCCATTGACAGTCTCAGGGTGATACGATTCTTAAGATGTTAGATGTGGAGTGGGGAATCCAGATTTTTTTTTGGCCTCCCTTAGTTACAGAAGTTCACTGGGTGATCTTGGCCCAGTTAGTTTTTTTCTCTATCCTATTTTGGACTGTTTTGGGGGAGCACAAGTATACCAGCCTGAGCTCCTGAATGAATGTGGGACATGAACTGAATACATTCCTTGCCAAAGTTAACTTCTGATTCAGACATTTCAAAAGGATCAACTGCAGGTCCCTCCTTTTTTTTGAAAACCAAAGCATTTGGACAGGGCAGCAAATTTACTGTGTCAATTTCTGTATTAAGAAGCATTTTATCCCCAAAAGCTTGAATAATTCCTTCTTTCTGATATTCTAGAAGATCATTAAAATTCCCCCAGTCCAACCAGCTTTGGCTCCTGTTATCTGCTCCATTCTTACATTTACATAATTATTTTATGTTGCTTTATGATGTTTGTTTTTGTCTTATTTCTCTTTTGTTGTACAACTGCCCTGAGTCATAAGATTAATACAATTAACACATATAGTTGAATAAATAAAATTCCCAGCCTTCTATCTTGATTGGCAGTAACATTTTGCTAGAGTTTCCAAAAAGGTTTCTCAGAGCCAAGCTGCAAAAATCAGGGGATTTTTTTATTTTATTTCTGTCCCCATTCTTTTTGATGGATTAATTATGATCTGTTTCTTGGAGTGCATTGATAAACAGAAGATAAGTGAAATTGTACCAATCTGAATCTCCCTTTTGATCCTCTGATCAAAAATGAATTCTGTCCCCTTTTTTGAACCTTCACATTCTGACCTCCAATCTTGCACTTTGCCAGAATAGAAATCCATGTGCAGAGTTGCCCATATAGTACTGTACTTTTGTTGTGTCAGCCTGCCAACTGGGAATCATAACATCAATTATTTAAAAGCTATGATTATCCATTCTTAAAGAAGCATACATCAGCTACTGCTCTTTCTTTTAAAGTTCAGATGTTTAATAATAGTCGGATTTAATATCCTGCCTTTTATTTAATTAGGGATGTTATATAGAGAGAGACAGCCATTGTATCATTGTGTCATTCATACAAGGCTGGGGTCAGAAAGAGCATAATTTTGGTTTTGTAACACTGCCAATGTTAATTCAAGCCTGGGACCTAAATGGTCATAGGTTTTCTCTCCCCCCCCTCTCTTTCTCCCCCCCCCCCAATTTATTTCTATATCAACAACTTGACATGCAGAAACTTAACATATGAAGCTTTCTCTGCCATGACTATAAAGTGTTGTTGCAAGAGCTTTTTCACTTGCTTAGTTCCTCTATGTCATTATTGCTATCAAAGAGATAGGAACAGATTATTAAGCATAGTATCTTTTTCAAAAAGCAGCACATCTCCACCTGCCGAATCCTAGTAACTTGCCGTAAAAAAAAAGAGATAATTTGATCGTGATTGTTCTGGCCATGTTCTCGGTCATAATGATGGAAAGAATAAATATTGTTGGATTTGTGATGAGCAGTGATGAGAAAGGGTGTGGGATTATTTTCTTAAAGAAAGGAGCCCATTTTGCACTCTGGAATATAATGATAATACCCCCATTGGCCTAATGGCTCTTGTAATATAGCCTTATGGTGCTGGAGAAATCTGAATCTCTCTAAATCAGGAATGTAGATAAGCAAGGTTGCCCTTCCCCCGTGGCACAGATGATCCCCAGAAGCTCAAGTCCCTTCCGTTTGTGGATGTATCTTCCTCTCTGGGGGACTGCAGCAACAAACAATGAGTTGAAAAGCTATCACAGTTTGCATTTCACAAATGCAAGTTCCCCAGTGACTGAGTTCAGACATTGTGCTAAGCTACAGTTTGCTGAACCACAATTTTCTTTCATAGCCACCCTTGGCTGAGCTCCCTCTTCATGCTAAGGCACACATCATAATTCACAAATTATATTAGCCGCACTGAAACAATATGCAGCACAAAACACACACATAACCATTGTTTGGTTTACCACAGTCCTGTGACTCTCACCCCACCCACATGTACAGATTCAGTTCTCAGTAAGCCATCCGTGCCTGCTGCTGTAAACCAGGGAATGAAGCACCCAATAGCTCTCTTCCTGCTTGAGTCCTAGAATGACATGATTAAATTAAGATTTCTGAGATCCTTGCTTGTTGATACCATTCAAGGAAGTTGATGCTACTAGACCTTTGAACCATACTATGTGCAACCTACAGATAGGTTGGATAAGCAGTTGTGGGAAATGAGAATGTCTCGTCTAATTAAGAAAAGGGCGAGGAGTGACACGATAGCAGTCTTCCAATATTTGAGAGGTTGTTTCAGAGAGGAAAGGCTGGGGTTAGCTACCTATTCTCCAAAACAGCTGAGGACAAGGTAAGCGGTAATGGATGGAAGCTTAACAAAGAGAAGTCCAACTTAGAATTAAGGAGAAATTTCCTCTCAGTGAGAACAATCACTGAAACAACCGTCCTCTGGAACTTGTGGGTGCTCCGTCACTGGAAGTTTTTAAGAGGTTGGAGAGTGGAGTGATATATGGTCTCCTGCTTGAGTAGGGGTTTGGACTAGAAGACCTCCAAGGTTATTTTCAATTCTGTTATTCTGTATTCTGCAACATCTGTGTTGGTTGTCAATATGCTTCTGGTTACGGCAAAGAGTCTTGGTGGTTAGCAATTAACATGGCTTAGGCTCCAAATAGCCTGGGGATCACCTTTGATACTCTCCTGCCATTCCCTAATTATAACAATTATTTCTGTTACCTTTAGGGTGGGATGTACATCCTAGAAAGAAGATGCTTTTAGAGGTTGGGTCCAATCATATAATGCCTCGCCAATTTAAATATTCTACTCTTTCCACTTTATTGGTATTTCTCATTGGTGATGTCCATTTTATTCCTAGAGGCTTTCGTTGAAGTCCATTTTATGCCCACACGATTTGGTTCATTCTGTCAGATTGGCTGATTGCTCTATATTGTTCTTATGAGTTTATAATTTTAAAGCTACACTAGCTGATGCTTTGTACAAGAAAGGAAAGGTGTATGTGGCTCAAGGACTAATTATAGGGTCATTGACTGGGTGCTAAGGAATGCAACTGTTTCCTGAAATGACTCTTACTAGGCAGTTTGCCAATAGCTCTCTGTTGTTGTTTTTTCAGAATACTTAAAGGACTATAAGATAAAGCTACCCATTTCATTAAAGATGGAATTGCAAGTATAGCTTTTCTTGAATAAGAGTATCAAGTAATGATGCTTAGAAACAACATCTGGAATCTCTTCTATAGACCATCAGTTGGTACACGGGATAGTAGCATTATTTTAAATTTACTGATGGAGAAGAGGGCCCCAATGAAGAAACTTGGTTTCTATCTATCTGAATCAAGTTAGAATCAAACTGCAAAAGAGAATCCTTATGCTCACATAGTGAATGCAGCCAAGCTAGTATTCGAGTTCTAGTTTCTCAAATCTAGGTATTATGGTGTTTCTATCTATAAAATATACACACACTCATAAACACGCACAAATTGTTGGATAGAATTTTATCCATCAAAGTTTTCCAG